GCAATGGAGGCAACCCCGCCCCCACTGGCCTCCCCTGACCCTCCTGAGCCATGCGTGGCCTTTCTATGTCTGTATTAATCACCTGTGCACATCTCCCACACTGAATGGAGGCACACAGATTAAAAACCATGTCTCCTACCTTGCAGCGTGAGCCTAGCATGGTCCCGAGGACAATTGTACACTGTAGGCGCTCAATAAAATATTGACTGGCCAAGCGAATGACCAGACTGTGCACATTTTCTCAGCTCCTCACATAGGGAAAATGCACTTAGGTTTGCAAATGCAGCTTAGGCCTATTTTTAGCATGTCCACTTAAGGAAAATGACAGAGGTTGTCCAGGAAAATGGAAACCTTACTATGACTCTACCAATTTTGAAGAACTACTGTAACGTATAATGAGAGAAGGTCCAGGGTCATGCCGCCTTCCCTTTGAAGCCATTTACACTTTCCACAACTGCCAGTAGTTCATCAAAATTTACAGAGACGGCTGGAAAGTTAATCCTTCCAGTAGAATTTTTCCTAACTTACCTGAAATCAGAGTTTCTAAACCCTAAAACCGATCTGTTAAGAACTTTTGAGACAGTTCATGGTGAGAATATAAGACAATCAAATTTAGAGAGATTTTTATTTATTTTTAGTATTAGTATTTATTTATTTATTTATTTATTTATTTATTTATTTATTTAGAGCTTAGCTGAGGAGTGCCTGGGTTGCTCAGTCGGTTAAGCATCCGACTTCAGCTCAGGTCGCGATCTCAAGGTTCATGGGTTCGAGCCCCACATTGGGCTCTGTGCTGACAGCTCAGAGCCTGGAGCCTGTTTCAGATTCTGTGTCTCCCTCTCTCTCTGCCCCTCCCCAACTCGCGCTGTTTCCCTCTGTCTCACAAATAAATAAACATTAAAAAAAAAGAAGAACTTAGCTGACTGAACGGGTGAAAAATACCATTACCTGATGCCTGGGTTTCACCCCAGGTTCTGATTGAAGTGGCCTAGGGTAGAAACCAAGAAGAACATTTTTTTGTTAAGTTCCCCCAGATAATTCTAAAGAGTAGCAAGGGTCAAGATACACTCCTATGAAATCTAAAATTTGTTCCTTTATGCCTCAGTGCTCTTATGGATAAAATGGTGGCAATTAGGCTTAGATTTTCAGATAAATGAAAATCCTTCTGAAAGAACAATTCATAACTAAATGTTAAGTGGAATCCTTTCTTTTTAGTCTCACTACCTTGGGTCACTGAAAAAATAAGGTTTGGCTTATTAAAACCGCCTGATCAATAAGCATTAATATCCATATTACAGAGGGACATATAAAATCCATTAAAGGACAATCAAAGATCCCCAAACTGCAATTATAATTAATCCACAATCAAATGCATACTAAAAGGTGTGAATCAAAAGACAACTGAGAATGATAACATTCCCAGAAGACGGAGCTGTAGGTCCTCTGTGAATAAATCCGTATTTGTGGGCAGAGCATGCATGTGTTTCTCCAGAAAGCAATCCCAGCAAAGTACTGAAAAGGCACTGTTTCTGTGCTCGCACCTCAATGGGCCCTGAGGGAGAGACCCGAAATGACACAACGGAAACCTCGCTGTTAAGATTACACTGAGTATGACATAAACTTTAGTATTAGAATCTCCTTAAAGTGAAAAAGGCGAAAGCAATCACACCACCATCTGTTTTTCTTCTCCAGAAACGTCCTGTTCTATCTCTTTTCTTTCTTTCAGGAGACACTCTATCATTGCCACTGAGGGGGATCAGGACACGTCACCCCAAAAGACACCACTCTCGCAAAAGAACGACTCTGAGCCAGAGGCATCTCAGTTCCTGCAGTCGCTTATCTGCCCGAGAGTTCTCCCCAAAAGTCTCGTCACAACTCCCATCTCCAGGCCACTCTGCTCTCTCCAGCACCACACCCGACACCACCACGCACTTCCCATCGCCCATCACTTCTCTCAGGGCCACGTGTCTTCCCGGGAGTATCTTTCTTCCCTCCCTCTCCCTGCTAAGTTAGCTGCACACACCCCAAGTCCAGCCCTCCGTTGAGTTACTCAGGACCGGGCACCGTGTGAATGCAGGATGCACCTGTGAGAACGCTTCTGTTTTTCTCTTGTTGATCTGCTTCTGTCAGACCAAGGTACAGGCTGTGGCTGGAGAACCCGGCAGGGTGGAAGGAAAATAATTTTTCTTCCCCTTTAGTACTTTGAAATCTGACTTCACATTTATGTATACACATCTCTCTCAGCTTTAAAAAGCTGTCTATTTTTTAAAAATCCAATAAAAAGTGTAAGTAACTGAAAGAGTCAAAGTTTTAAAACCTTTGAGACTCCGGGTCCAGTCTCTTTAACTTTTCAAACTAGATATTGAAACAATATACCAAAGTGCTTATTGTGTGAGGCAAGACTGCTATAAGGAAAAGAGTGGATAATGGCCAGATATTTACAGCGTATGCAGCTCTAAGGATCAGCCTCTGCTCTGTGAGGACCCTCACCAAATACAGTTTCACGATTATATTTAACCCACTTTACTAATATTACTTCATCTTTTATCATTATTCCATTATTTATCTTTTATTACAAGATAAATATGAAAGACTAAAATGCTACGGTAGCAAAATAACTTCAAATTAAAGTTTCCTACTTGAAAAACTAATGGACAGAGAGCTACATTTTATAGTGGGGAAGACTGGAAATACCTTATTGCTATTGATAATGGCAGACAAAATAAAGCAAAGGTGATGTAGTTCTAAATACAGCACTCCTGGAAATAAAGTATTTAACATACGACTGTGATATATATACATATATATATATATATAGTCATGTAGGCAAACACTGAGTAGTATATCTCCTCAATGAGAAGAAAATTAGCTTCAGAAGCATCAGAGACGCAGCACTTTTACCATATGAAAAAAGCACGTGAAAGACACAAAACAAAATATACTTATTACTTTTAGCATGTTAAAAACAATCACATCAAAAAAAGTATACAGATAAAAATGTCATAGATGACATAAGAAAATAGTGTATATATATATATTCTGCATATATATATATGTATATATATATAAATCTACAGTATTTACCACTGTTGACATATATATTTTGGAACAGCTCAGATGCTGCCATCATACCCTAAATTGTACAGCTTGGTTTATTACAAGTCACAGAATCATGGTTTAAAAATTCGAACTAATACCCTTAGCTGCATTTCGTTATATACATGTCTTTCTAAGCCTCCACATGATCCGAATCAAGAGCCCAGGGACAGCAGGGTTTTGTCTGTGCTCCAGCGTCGTGCTTAGCTGCTAACACACTGCATTTGTTTTGCCATTTAATAACATCATTACTGAGTTGATTAAAATTACATTAGACTCATTATATACATAAAAAATATTGTCACATTCACTAGCTAAACAAATGTTACTCTCATTTGAAAAGATATACTTCGGTACCTTGAAAGTTTAAAGCTCCAACTTGTGACAAGAAGAGCCATGGACGTTAGGTTTATCCTACTCTCTTCATTATTCAAACACCAGGCAAGTATGCTGAAAACGAGCTCTCCCGTTAAACACAAAGTCATACTTTCTGGGAGTGCCCAAAACTTTGCCAGCATTTTGGTAATTGTAGTGTAATAGAGTATTTTAAAAGACATTGCTCATTTTTAAACCATGAACCTGAATTTTTTTCACTGAGAAAGAAAAAAAGGAGATTTTTGAAAGTATGAAAGTCACACTCGTTTTTAAAAAAGACTAAAATCTTAAGACTCCTATTAATAATTAGGATCATTGTTTACAGTTTTACACAGTGATAATTTAGTGGCCCAAGGGCAGTGATACCCACTAGGGCCTTTAAAGAAAGAGTACCAGGAAAAGATCGTGTAAATGAACGCTCTGGGCCTGCAGGAATCGAAAGGGCAGAAGTGAGAAGTCACCATACTGCTGATCCAGCTTTCGAATGAACTTCACAGGAGCTGCTCTGCTGCTCTGCTGCCCCGTGTGAGCGCGCACTCATCAGTAACTCCTCCTGCTGGCATCCACTGGAGAGCAGGACCTCGGCGCTTCCTTTGCATCTGGCAAGGAGCATTCTGCTCTGAGCTTTGCAAGAGTCAGACCAGAACAAAGGGCGCCGAACGCACTAAAGCTGCTCTGACACTGATCTCAGGGTGTGTGGATGCAACGGGCAGTGCGGCCGTGCCTTTGGCCATAAACTTACTTTGAGTGCCCCGATGTTTGAGCACCATTAAGTGGTGAGCCTTGCTCTCCAGTGTCTTTAATTTTCAGATGGAAAGAAAATGGCTGCAATGGCAGAGAAGCTGAATCAAGTCGGGGCAGACCCTTACATCACTTTAGGACCTGGGTGAAAAACAGATTGGGGGGGGGGGGGGGG